AGAAGAAGGGTGAATGAAGAGATAAAACCGGAAGAGTGGAAGGAGTATTTCATGGATCTGATGGGTGGAGTGGAGAACAGAGTGGTAAAGGGAGAGGGAGACAGAAGCAGACAGGAGAAAGAAGAGATAGGATTAGAAAAAATAAGAAACGTAATAAAGAAACTAAAGACGGGAAAAGCAATAGGCAATGACGGGATACCTAACGAGGCATGGAAGTACGGAGGAGAAGAAATGGTGAAATGGATATGGGAGGTATGCAAACGTGTCTGGAGAGGTGAAGGCTGGCCGGAACAATGGAAGGAAGGGGAGATAATCCCATTAGTTAAAAAAGGAGAAGGGCGAGAGGTGAAGGACTATAGAGGAATAACCATCATGTCTTCGATGTACAAAATCTACACGGCGGTACTGGCGGAAAGAATAAGAGAAGAAGTAGAAACGAAGAAATTGATCCCCAATAATCAAACGGGATTCAGGAAAGGAATGGGAACGATGGATCAAATATTCGTTTTAAATTACCTGGTGAACAGACAAATAGGAAAAGAGAAAGGAAAGATGACAGTGTTTTTTGTGGATCTGAAGGCTGCCTTCGACTCAGTGGACAAAAGAGTATTAATAAAGGCAATGAGAAAAAGAGGAGTGAGACAAGGACTGATAGACAGAGTAGAGGAAGTATTGAGGGAAACAAAGAGCAGAGTAGGGAAAGGAGGAGAGAGTGATGGTCAATTTTGGACGGCGAAAGGCCTGAGACAGGGATGCCCACTAAGCCCAATATTATTCAACCTATTAATTGCAGACATAGAGGATCATATAAAAAAAGGCGGATGGGGAGGAGTGAAATTAAGAGGCGAGAAAATATACACGCTAATGTATGCAGATGATATTGCACTGCTGGCAGAGGAGGAGCAGGACATGAGATCGATGATAAGCAGGTTAGAAGGATATCTAGACAGAAAAGGGTTAACTCTGAGTATAGAGAAGTCAAAGGTAATGAGATTCAGAAAGGGAGGAGGAAGGAAGAAGAAGTACGACTGGAGGTGGAAAGGAAAAAAATTAGAAGAGGTTAAAGAATTCAAGTATTTAGGGTATACGATGAAGGAGAATGGAGGGCAGGAGGCGCATATCAGAGAGAGATGAAGGAAGGCAGCAAGAGTAATGAGAGAAGTATGGGGGATAGGGAAGAGGATGTGGAAAAAGGACTGCAAAAGAAGGATCTGGCTATACGACACACTGATATGGACAGTGATGGGATACGGGGCAGAAGTATGGGGATGGAAGGAGAGGAGGGAGGTAGAAGGTATTTACGAGAGATATCTTAGATGGGTACTTGGAGTAAATTGGAGGACGCCGGGATATATGGTCAGAGACGAGCTAGAAAGAGAGAAGATGAGAAGTAGAGCAAGCAAGAGAACATGGAAATTTGAAAGAAAATTGGAAGAAGGTAGAGGAGGAGAGATAGCGAGAAAGTGTTTGGAAGAAATGAAGGAGAGATGGAAGAGAGGAAAGGTAATAGGGAGATGGGAGCAGGAGAGAAAAGATTACTTGGAAGGGATCGGAGTAGAAATGGAAGGAGGAGAGGAGTTGAAGGAGGAGGAATTGGAAAAGAAGGAGGAGATAAGGAGAGACAAGAAAGGATGGAAAAGATCGTAGGATCGAAGTACAATAGATGGTATAAGAGCATAAGGAAGGACGGGATCCCGGACTATCTAATGAAGGGATGGGAGGAAGCAAGATGGAACAGGATTGCAAGATTCAGACTGGGTAACGAAGTGAAGGAAGGACTATACTGGGAAAATGAGGAGGACAAAAAATGCAGGATGTGTGGAAAGGAAGAGGAAACATGGGAACATGTATGGGAGGAATGTACGAGATGGGTGGAATGGGAAGGAGAGGGGTGGCGGGATGTGGCAGAGAGATTACTAGGAGAAAAGGGAGAGGGAGAAGAATGGATGAAAGCAATAGAGGAAAGGAGACGAGATGGAGGAGGGAGGATAATGAGAAAGGAAGAAGGACAAGCCAACAACTCAACGAAAGAGGATCAAGGAGGGCGAGACAACGAAAAGGATCGAAAAAGAATATGTTTATAATAAATTATATGTATTTTAATTGTATGTAAATTGTTGTAAACTGGATGTACAGGGTTGGGTACGTCCCTAAAAAACGCCCTTTTAGACCCCTTGGGGTAATAAAGTATCTTATCTATTCTAATAGTAATCTTTCGAAAGTAGAGGTTTTAAGCTTTAAATTTAAATTTCGTTTATTTTTAACAAAGTTATAGCTGCTTGAATTTTGCTTATTTTTAAAGATAAATTTAGTGTTCCTTTAATTTTTGTGAGAAGTGTATAATTTACTTTTACTTAAATATTATTAATTTTTATGTAAATAGTAATTTTTTGTAACTAATTACTAATTTGCTAATTCAATAAAAATTTAATTTGTTGTTATTGCTAATTTCGTGAATAATTAAAAAATAAAAAATAAAAATTTTTTATAGATTCTTGCTTAACACTAAAAAATGGGTAATATCAGTACAAAATTACCTTTTTCAAAAAAGGTAAAAAAAAGACGCCAAGTACACGCAATGTATTTTGTAAATTCAAAAATCCAATCTAAATGATAGCTTTATTTCTTCTTCACAAAATTATATTACCTAACTTAACTCAAGTGACATGTATTTCAAAAAAGATGTGTAATATTTAATTTCTCCTTCATAAAATTATATTACCTAACTTAACTCAAGTGACATGTATTTCAAAAAAAGATATGAAATCTTTAAATTAAATTGCGCCAATTGCAAAGAGATTATTATATCACAAAATTGCGTTACCAAACTCAATCCAAGTAATATCTACGTATCAACTTAATGGTAGTAGCCTTATTTCTCCTTAACAAAATTATATCACAAAATTGCGTTACCTAACTCAACCTAAGTGATATGTTATTTTAAAAAAATATATGAAATCTTTAAATTACGCCAACTACAAAAAGAATATATATATTGCTTTAAAAAATTATTGTAGTGCAACTACTCTTAAAAAATAAAACAAAATTGTGTTACCTAACTCAACCCATAAGTGGTATGTATCTTTGTATTCCTGAGGATCTTTCTATCAACCCAAGTGGTGGTAGTTTTAATTCTCCTTGATAAAATTATAATATTACAAAGAATCATTTTAATCACAAATAATTAAAAAAGTAACATTATAAAATAAAAATATTTAATTAAAATAAAATAAATAAATTTTTCTTGTAAAAAACTTGGCGCTGCTTTTTTAAGGTCAATCCAGACAAACTTGCATATAGGTGCATAAGCATATGCATAAAGAGATGGATTGGTCTATTTCCTTTTGCACATAATACATATATATATAAATCAATCAATTTCTTACGCTTATGTTTATGCGCTATGCAAATTTGTCTGGATTGACCTTAAAAAAGTAGCGCCAAGTTTTTTACAAGAAAAATTTATTTTGCTTCCTCATAAAGGAAGCTTTGTTTTCGTGAATTTTGTATATGAACCTTCGATTGCGTATAAAGTTGGGTTTAGTCAACCAAATTTAAAAAAATTATATATGAAATAGGGGTAGAAGAAACCAACGAAGAGATTGGTTTTTGAGTTTTTTCTGCCAATATGTTCAGATTGTTGTAAAACGTCGAAATATCGCCTTAAAAAAAATATCCGTGTATATGTATGTATGTATGTGTGTATGTATGCATGCTTTTGTTGTCCGTACATGCTCTAACTTCCGTAATTTTTGAGATATTGGGATGTTTTTTTTAATCGATAGAGTTTCATTCAAGGAAGGTTGGTATTGAATTTATGGCGATGATCGGTAAAGGGGTTCTTTTTTAAAATTTTTGAATTTTTTTAAAAATGTCCGTGGTTGCTCTAACTTCCGCAAATTTGGGGATATCGATTTATTTCTAATTTTATTATATTTTTCAATCTTTTCTACCCTTATTTCATATAAAATTTTTTAAGATTTGGTTGATTAGATCCAGCTTTATACGCGATCAAAGGTCCATAATTTTGCTCACATATAAAGCTAAGTCTAATTAACCGAATTTAAAAGAATTATATATGAAATAGGGGTAGAAAAAAGACCAAAGTAAAAATTGTTTTTTGAGTTTTTGATACCAATGTGTTGCTTATGTTCGAAAACGTCGAAAAATCGTAAAGTATCATTAAAGGTAGGTTGGTGTTGAATTATCTTTTTTTTTTTTGTTTATGATATAACTTCCGTAATTTTTTAGATATTGGAATGTTTTTTTTTCTTAATTGATAGAGTATCATTCGAGGAAGGTTGGTATTGAATTTGGCGATGATCGGTAAAGGGGTTCTTTTTTAAAAAAATTTTGTTTTTTTAGAAATGTTCGTGGTTGCTCTAACTTCCGCAAATTTGGAGATATCGATCTATTTCTAATTTTATTATATTTTTTAGTCTTTTCTACCCCTATTTCATATATAATTTTTTAAGATTTATTTGATTACACCCACCTTTATACGCGATCAAAGGTCCATAACTTTGATCGCATATAAAGCTAAGTCTAATTAACCGAATTTAAAAGAATTATATATGAAATAGGGGTAAAAAAGACTGAAAAATATAATAAAATTAGAAATAGATCGATATCTCCAAATTTGCAGAAGTTAAAACTTCCTCTATGAGGAAGCCATGTGCAAATTTCTAATTTGCACAATTTATTTTATTTTAATTAAATATTTTTATTTTATAATGTTACCTCTTTAATTCTTTGTGATTAAAATGATTTTTTGTAATATTATAATTTTATCAAGAAGAATTAAAACTACTACCACTTGGGTTGAGTTAGGTAACACAATTTTGTTTTATTTTCTAAGATATTGATCTACGTAATAGACAAAACAACATATTGAACGTATTATAAATTAAAAACGTTATATTTTTTCTCATTTATCTTATAAATTGCAAATAATCGATTTATGTTTCTCAGAATGTCTTCGAGTCTCGTAATATACTTACGGCGTACGTCAAATTCTGCGCGAGGTTGCCCTTGACCTTAGTCTCATATATACTGACTGCGTGTACATGATGGCCTTTACGAAGCAGGCCTTTAACCAAATGCTCCGTCCAGATGTGGTGGCTAGGCGACTGAATAGTCTCTATCAATAAAATCGACAATGGCGGTTGTTTCGACGCAGTCACGAGATCACTGAATAAAATACAGCAGACAAGAAAAATGACACGACTTAACATTGTTACACAAAATATCTCGCGTAGTCTTTCAATCACATCCTAAGACCAAATAATCTATATGCCTAGTGTAGCATTCCTCCTCTGCTTATTTCAAGATAATGGCATTTATCATAATCGCGTCACGTGATTATGATAAGAGTCACGGTGCGATCTCGCTTTGCGTGTACTTGGCGTGAGACACTACCATGTCTCTTGATATTACATCGGCTGCATTCCGATATTCACTGTCAGTATACTATTAACGTTAGTTAACGCTAGTCTTATTTTTCTATACCGTTATTATTTTCTATTATTATATATTCTTATTTATTTTTAAATATTGTTTATTGTCAAATCTAACTGAGATTGTTTAAAGACTGATATTTATAAATTTTTACTATTACAATAAAAATTTTAAATTTTAAGACGGCGACAGATCTAACTTTTAAAATAGAGATTTTATTTTAATTATATTCAAATATATATTCCAAAATATATAAAATATAATTTAACTTAATATTTTATTATTATTTTTTATTGTTAAAATTTAATTTTGGTTTAATTTAAAAAAGATGTAAATTTTGTTCTAAATTATAGATTAAATCAGGCCTGTCTAACCTGCGGCCCGCGGGCCACTCGTGGCTCTTTCCCCTACCACGGGGCCCGAGCCCGCCCCCCCCCCCCCACTCTTCCAGTTGGTTTCCCGACTCTTCCCATATTTGACACGTATTCCTAGTCCTAGCGGATATAGCATCTAACATCTTAGCTTGCTTATGAGCTTACTGTTCCCACGTTACGACGTGTATGCACAGTACAACTTAAAGGCTTAAACCATATTATTAAAACTGAATAATATTTCAATAAGTTATTTATTGATCGGCCTGACTGGCAATAATTGATTAATGTTAAACGACGTTTTCCAGTGAACACAATGCAACATGTAACGTACAGGTTAGTTGTAATTTCCTACTCAACAATATAAATGCAATGTAACACGTGTGTTATATTATATTGTTGAGTAGGAAATTACAACTAACCTGTACGTTACATGTTGCATTGTGTTCACTGGGTTTGATCTCTAATTTGGGTCTCCTTATCAAATTACATTTAATGCTAGAACAAAATAAATTGCCGGTAACAAATATAAAATAAAAACAATAATACAAATTACATATTCAACTTACATCTTACATAGATCATTATGCGTCAAAAGTTATAAATTACTAGTCATCGTTAAAACTTGTGTAACGGGGCGATAGAACAAAGGAATGTAAAACTTAGCACTCGGTCGTCAGTAACTGTGTATGTAAACTTTACATTCTATGTAATTTTATTTATTTTGTGATTATTTATAACATGACACATTTATCAGTCGTTCGTCGGGCGTTATACGTGACGTCATACCGCACTAAGTCCGGTATTCATAGTCTTCAAGATCGTCTTAAGTAATGTCTTAAGACGCTAATACGGCTCTGTGATTGGTTCATGACATCTTAAGATTGAACTTAAGACGGTCTTAAATAACTATGAATACCGGCCTAAGTTTACATTCCTTTGTTCTATCGCCCCGTTACACAAGTTTTAACGATGACTAGTAATTTATAACTTTTGACGCATAATGATCCATGTAAGTTAAATATGTAATTTGCATTATTGTTTCCATTTTATATTTGTTACCGGCAATTTATGTTGTTCCAGCATTAAATGTAACTTGGACCCAAATTAGAGGTTGAAACATCGTTCAACATTAATCAATTATTGCCAGTCAGGACGATCAATAAATAACTTGGTATTATTTCACCAATTTCACCAATATTTGGCGAAAGATCATTTTTGAATAATATTTATATTCCTACTATTATTATATACTTTTATAACTATAAACTCTACTAACGATGTCGAAAAGACAACGCGAAGATACGTCCAATCGTCAATTTCAACAGAGCTGGGAAATTGATTTTTTTTTTCTTAAATGCGGAAAATAAACCACAGTATTTGCTATGTAACACTGTAATTTGCTCTATGAAATCTTTTAATATTTCTCGCCATTATAGCACAAGTCATGAAAAAGATTACGGGCATTATCATGGAGACATTAGAAAACATATTTTGAAAAGTCTCAAAATGCAACAACATTTGCCAGAAAATGTTGAAAAGAATCTACTTTCAAATAAAACCTTGCAACAACAATGTCTTGCAGCGTCTTATGCCATTTCTTTAGAAATTGCACGAGCGAAAAAGTGCTTTTCAGATGGAGAGTTTATTAAAAAGTGTGCAATTGAAATGGCTAGAGCTTTTGATAATACACGTGCAATACAATTATTCGAACAAGTACCATTATCGCGCCAAACTGTTACTCTTAGAATTAAAAAAATTGATATGGACATTAAACAAAAGTTAAAAAATTTATTGCAATCTTGTCGATATTTTTCACTATGCCTTGACGAAAGCACTGAGATTTCAGACATTAGTCAATTATGTATATTTGTGAGATGTATCCAAAACGACTTTTTTATTAATGAAGAGTTGTTGTCATTGGCTTCATTACACGATACAACGAAAGGTATTGATATTTTTAACGCTGTCTGGGAACATGTAAATGAATTTTGTAACGGTTTCGAAAAATGTACTGCTATTGTAACTGATGGAGCAAAGGCAATGGTAGAAACTGAAAATGGATTTTGTAGCCAATTAAGAAAGCATAATATTTTTTGTCGAATGATACACTGCATCATTCATCAAGAAGCCTTATGTGGGAAAATTATAAAAATGGCTTCAACAATGAAATTAGTAATGAAGATAACAAATTTAATTAGAGGCGGTAATAAATCATTATCTCATCGCAAATTTCAGGCATTTTTGCAAGAAGTAAATGCTGCATATGAAGATCTACCATTGCATTGCGAAGTTCGCTGGTTGAGTGCTGATAAATGTTTGAATCGGTTTTTCGCTCTTAGGAAAGAAATACCAATATTTTTAAAAAATGAAGTTAAGAGCGATGTCGCTGATTTGGAATAGTTATTTGCGTAACAAGTGCTGTAACAAGTGCGGTGACCGCACTCGCCTTCGGCTCGTGCGTCAACTCCGCACCCGTGAATTTTCATCTTTACGCACGGCTTGCACGCCCTATTTTATGTTGCAAGTGCGTGGAAAATGATCTATCACGCACGCGTAGCGTGCGTAATGGGCCACTTTCCATGCACGTGTTACATAAAAATTATTTCACGATTCAAAATTTTTGAGTAAGCTTACTTTTTTGGTTGACATTACACAACATTTGAATGAACTTAATTTAAAATTACACACTCAGAAGCAAACTATCTCAAATTTAATGCATCATATTAATGGATTTCGGAATCGTTTAACTGTATTTAAAATAGAACTAATGAAAGACGAATTAGTTCATTTTCTTTGTTGTGAAGAATTAAAAAAAGATTTTCCTTCTATAGGTTTCATCCATTTTTCTTATTTTATAGATAACATTAGTAATGAATTTAATTCTCGTTTTACCGATTTTGACGATTTAAAAACTGATATTATTCTTTTTAATAACCCAATGACAGTTGCAATCGATTAACAAAAAGTTGAATATCGAATGGAGTTGTGCGATCTACAGGCCGATCCTTTTCTGATGGGACAATCAGAAAGTGGATTAGAATTTTTTAAGTTTTTATCGGAAACCACTTATCTTAAATTAAGAGATTTTGGCCTTCAAATCTGCTCCATGTTCGGTTCAACTTACCGTTGTGAGAGTGCGTTTTCAGTAATGAAGCAAATAAAAAGTAAAAGTCGTGCTTCGATGACTGATGCTGCATTGTCACATGCAATGCGGATTGCAACATCTGAAATCTGTGTTGACATTTCAACATTTGTTGATCGAGCAGTACATCCACAAATTTCGCATTAGACAAAGTATATCATGTCAACATACAAAATGGCATTGTAAATTATTGTAATTATTATATACTATATTATATATTATTATATTATACGGCACGTTAGAGTGATAAGCTCGTTTTAACGCTTTGACATACCGGTAATTGCTCCGTAAGTAAGAAAATTATATTTAACACTGATAAATTGCTGACTGTTGACTGCGCTTGACTTACAATTTATTGTGGAATTTATTTTTAACTTACACTTTTTGTTTTACTCGTTGACTGCACCTATTTGGCTCATAGTTTTTATTTTCTATTTACACTTTTGGTTCACGCGTTACCTGCTCCGATTTGATTCATTTTTATGTATTATTGTCGTGAATTTAGACTGCGCCTGATTGACTTATGTAGATCAACTTCGTCGAATTTTATGTATTATCTTCGGGAACATCATGTATTTTCTTTACGCTGAAGATGACACAAAAAAGTGTCGAAACGTCCGTTTTTATTATAATATATTTATTGTTACGATAATTTGATTGCGCATTAATTACCGCGCTTGGTTCCTATTGCCTCCTTATTTCCTTTACTTATTGATTTATTTAGGAGAGCCTACTTTTATTTAATTTATATTATATATTATATTCTAAAAAAATTGCATATATATACCGAGATATCACCATCAATACCATACTCAGTTATATTGTTTTATGCGTAAATAAGAATATGACACGCACTTGTGCTCTGTATGCGTATTCTTAGTTACGCATAAAACCATCGAATATAGCTATTCTACTTCTACTCATGCTGCGAGAAACCGCTGCCCCACTACTGATACTACTGGATGGTGGGGGAAGTCTGAAGTGGTAAAAGTGGAAGCAGTGGCTCCTTCGCTTCGAGCAGTTAGACAGGCCTGGATTAAATTATAGATTAAGATGAAATAAATAATAGTGTAAGATCTTTATCTGGCAAAACTACGATGGCTCAG